TCTTTCAAAAATTAGCCATATGCTTGCAAAACCTTTATTTTTATACATATGTATATGTACATACACAGATATATGTATGTATATAGCTAATTACTTTGACCTTTTGGTGCTCTCTTTGCTGCATTTGGAGTGGATCTAATTTTTTTATCTTTTTCCTTTATAAAGCCCTGTGCTTGTCAGTCTACAGGTGTGTTAGATTAGTTCTTTCTGAGAGCTGGCCACACCTGGGATACTGTGTCCAGTTTTGATTTCTGCTGCAAATAAAGATGTGGGCAGGCTGGAGGGGGTCCAGAGAAGGGCCACAGAGATCATGAGAGGAGTGGAAGCTGCCTCAGGAGGAAAGACTGAGAGAACTGGGTTTGTTCAGCCTTGAGAAAAGGTGTAGGAGAGACTTATCACCATGGCCCAGTATTTAAAGGTTGGTTACTCCCTTTTTAAAGAAGTCACATGGAAAAGAGGAGGGATAATATCTACAGGTTGTTCCTGGGGACACTCCAATTGATCACAAGACAATTTTTACAAAGAGGAACAGTCAGCCATTGGAATAATCTCCCCAGGGTAGTGGTGCATTCCCCAACATTGGACACTTCTAAGATTTGGCTGGGCAGGCTGCTGGACCATCTTGTCTAGAGAGGAGAGTGCTTTTGCCAAGAAAGGTTGGACTGGCTGATTCTTGTGGTGCCTCCCAACCTGGCATTCTGTGATTCTGTGACTCTGTTCCAGAAGGCTTCTTTCACTTTGCATACAGTGCAGTTCTTTCCTAATGATAAGAAAGGTTGGACTGGCTGATTCTTGTGGTGCCTCCCAACCTGACATGCTGTGATTCTGTGACTCTGTTCCACAATGAAGGCTTCTTTCACTTTGCATACAGTACAGTTCTTTCCTAATGAAGTCTCCTGCAGCCTTACTAGTGATACAGGAAAGATAAGTTATCTTTCCATATCCTATGCCAGGGCAAACAACAATAACAATAAAATTATAAAGTCACTGAACTCTAGTGATTATTCATTTGTCATAAAGATTGAGATTTATCACAGTGAGGTAAAAACTTACCTTTTCTTAATTTAATTAAGATTAATCACCACTGCTGTTTTATTACAGACCACCAATACAACACCTAAAACAATTTGTGCTTTCACGTTATTAAGGATTGATTCAGTTGTCCCCTAATCATCTTTTTATTTGAAGGACAAGAATAATCTTGGCATAAATAAAAAGTTCTTTCAGTCTAAGATGAGTCGGGGTGGGGAAACCAAAAAATAAACAGAACAAACAAACATGGGTAATTTTAGCTTCTTGATAAACATCAGAAACCTCCATGTGTGTGTGTGTGTGTTCATATCAAGCTAACATTCTGTATGTTAGTTCCATTGCACAAATCTTTATTATATGTGGGTATTTCCAATAATTTTTCATTAGCATTTCCTTCTTACCTTACTGTCTAAAGGGAATATGTGATGCATATTCTTGTTTTAAAGTTTCTTTTGTGTGTCTTGTACCTTACAATGCATTATTTTCTCACTGAGACTGGACAGAACTCCTAGTTTATTCTGGCGACAGATTAAAAGACACTAATAGTGCTTGAAAGCTATCCTGTTCTCATCACATTGACTTAGAGTCCTGGATAACTAACACAGGAATACTACAGGTTAAACTGTATTTTGGGGGGATTTTTTCCCATTATAATCTGTAGCAGATTCAAAGCCAAATAAGAGGAGAATTTTCATGTTTTGTAATTATAGATAGTACATAGTAATAACCAGCTGGTTGTTGACATAAAAGCACAACCTGTATATGCAAATGATGCTCTTGGCTGTAATTAGAGACAAGAGCTTTAAGAATGATGCAGCAATAGGCAGTATTTGCAGCAGGGATGGAGGAGGTGTGTCCCTGATGCAGACAAAAAGAACTGCAACAAAAGAAAATAAGCTCTCGAGTCAGCATTCTAAACTCCATTGTCACTGCAGTAGCAGCTGCGTGTGGAAATGAGGCAAATAGAATTTGAAATGAAGAACTGGAAAAGAAATTGCCACTTGCCTGCCTGGATGGAGACAACTATTGGGCCTGATTGCCAATTAACTGATCTGTTTTTTCTGACAGCTTTGATAACAGGTCAAAAATGTGGCAGGAGCTCTCTTTGACCTACTCACTTCGTCCTTTGTGGTTGCTCAGCCATAGATACTCCTCTGCACACAAAGAAATACCACAATGGTACCAACAGTAGTTTGGTTTGTATCTGTCTTATGTTGGATGTGGATGATTTCCAGCAGAGTTCAGTGAATTATCTTTAGATTGAAAAAGCCTTCCAGGCATAGAAAGCAGGCTAGGACTACATAAATATTATCAGTTCATACTAAGCATATTTTTAAGGACTAAAAAAAGAATCAAGGGTACTTTGTCAGCATTAAAACAGTGTTTGTACCTACTCTGTCCTGCAGCAGCAGGAAATGGTTTATTGTAGGTGGAGACTGCAGAAAATCTAAGTGTCATGTGAACTCCCTCAGAGTACAGAGAAATGTTCTCTGGAAATGAATATACCTTTGAGCAGGTAGTCATAGTTCCAAGACCCAGATACCTTTGGGGGCTAAATCTTGTCAGAATAGCCTGTGCCCTGAGTCATGTTGGGTGGTGATGAGCCTGGGTGTGCAAGGTATTTATTAGTTTAGATAGAAGGTCCCTGTTTGTGGACTGGAATTGTCTGTAATGTCTGACTAGTTAAGGTGTTGTCTCTGAATGTTTAAACTGTCTCTCCTGAATGCCTGAACCATGATTGCAGCACTTCTGCCATTTAATTGACCAGATAATTTACCCTGTCAGGATATCATAGGCTATTTAAGGCTGTCTCTTCAGAGCGTTATTAGCTTTCTTTTTCTGCTTCATTCAAGAACAGATGTTTCTACTGTGTAACTGAAATAATCAACGTCTTTGGAAATCAAAGATTGCTGTTTTATGAAATAGAACATGGTGGAAAATCTGAATTATTAATTATAAAAGGGCAGGAGTGAAACTAATTTTATGCAACTTGGCAGAAATTTATAAGATCTGAGTCATGATAATGGTAAATAGTTAACAACTTTAATGGTGTTGTCTTTTATACTTGCGTAGCTAAATATTTCACTTATGCTTTGTCATGTCATTTCTGTATTTTAGAGGAGTGTCATCTGTTTGGTTTTTGTTTGGTTTTTTTTTTTTTTTTTAGATTTGGAGCTGTTTAAATTTCCTTAGTAATTTGCATTTAAATGTTTTCATTTTTTCACCAATTTTTCCACAGTTCATTATTTCTTTAATTGCCATATCAGGTTCCCAGTGAAGGTACTTGCAGAAATATCTGTGTGAAGGGTTATTTTTTTCTGAATATATATTTTAATTTTTTTTCCTTTTGATTATGGACACTGGTACATGCTATTAGTAAGCTTAGCAAAATGGGTAAGAAGGATTTTAGTACTTAAATAAGATCTAGTGACATGAAGGAAAAAGACTTAACTTGCCACCTACACTCAAGGCCATATCCTGTGTGACCCACAGGAGCAGTCCCAGTAAAGACACAGAAAATACTAACCCAAGTAAAGTAGACAAAGTCTATTTAAAACAACCCACTGTTGTTTAAGAGCTCTGTTCATATAGCACCATGGAAGAAAAATTTTCCACAAAAGGTGGGGAAGCAAAAGTACAGTCTTTCCTGAGGGCATCCAGCATGATTTATGCTAAAACAGGTAGTTGAAGTCAGATTTCCTCTTCTAGAGTCTTGTCCAATGGGTAACAGTCCTGTTCTGCTGGTATGCACATTTTTGGGGGAAGAAGCAGCTGCATTTAGCAGACCAGAATATATTTATTGTGAGCTTGGTCATTCCAGGAATATATTTTTTCTTGCTCTAAAGCAAAAGCACTAAACCTGAAGAAAACTTGGGCAAGTTGAGAACAACTTTGGAAATAAGAACAACAATGAAACAATTTAGAACAACAATGAAAATATATATGTGAGGTGGATTTTTGCCACTTTTGGCTTATATAGTAAAAGCAAAGATGAAACTTGGACGTTTAGGACAGGCACAGCCCCTCCTGTAGCAGCCTGTGCTCCCTTTCTGTCTCCAGCCAGGTGCTGCTCAGAGTTTAGTGCAGGCAGGGTTGTGCTGCCCTGGGCTTGCCTTGTGTGTGCAAGTGGCACTGCATGGTGGAAAATGGTAAATGCAAATATAAACTTGGGTGTGGAGACAACTGCATGTGGCTTCCTTACAAAGCTGCACTTAGTACCAATACATCTGAATCATCCTGTTGTAGTAAAGCTTTGATAAGAGGCAAAATCTTTCATGGGAGTTTATCAACCCCTGTGAAGCTGCCTTCAGTTTTGTTCTGCTTTTCTAAGAGATCAGTAAAGAAAGCTTCCCACTGAGACTCCAGTCTTTGCTCAGTAAAAGCCTTCATTCAGCTCTTTGGCAGTGTTAGGAGACAGCAGGGTGTCAGAAGAGTGGTAGATTTCAGGTGGTGGTACCTCCTGGAGTTGTGGAAAGACTCCCTGGTGTTCACCCAGGGATTGTAGGTAGGTACTTTGAAGTGTCCCACTGAGGTTTATGTGGTGTAAATGTTGGAGTGCTCAGTGCTTTGCAGGGCTAGATCCCAGCACTAAGCACTGCTTGGCAGTGATGCTGCATCTCACTTAGAAATTAATGTTTCCAAAAATTGTTTCTTGAAGTGTGAGGAGATTTTAATGCTGGAAAACCACTCAAGCAATGCAGGTAGGTTGTTGTCCAGGGCTTATTCTATGGAAATGAAAACATCAAATGTATGTAGACAGGGGCTGCTATTGTGAATTTTCACTCACTGTTGCAGTGAAAAGAATTGCTAGGTATCTGATGTACTTTAAAGTGTTGTTTGTAATGTTTTGAGTGTGTCAGACCTGGACATGTCATTCAGGTCTGATACCTCATCTTGAATAGATCAGTAACTTATATATGTCTGGAATTACAGCCTGCCTTATATCTTACCTGTTTATTGTTATTATTAGGTATTAGCAATTGAGGACAAGCCTTCTGCTGTCTGAAGATGGAGAACAACATAACTACTATCTCTCGTGAGGAGCTTGAAGAGCTACGAGAAGCATTTGGCAAAATAGGTATGTTTTAAATAAGGGAGTCATAAGGATGCCATTAACATGCAAAACTGTTTAGGATTTGTGGAAGAAATCTTTACAGATCACTTGTTTTTTTTGGTGTTTTCCCTCTGTATTGCCAGTAATATCTAAAAAAATATAAAAAGAATGTTTACATAGAGCCCCTTACTTTCACTGGAACTACGTGTGTTAATTTCTTTCAACTTCAGCACTGAAAACAGACATGTTTTCTTGCAAGGTGGCAGCATTTTATGGGTTATTGTTATGTATTGCTACATAATGGTCTCAAAATTCAGGTTTCTGAACTCCTGAATTTGGAAAAACTTTTGATTAAGCTTCAGGTGTTATATATATTCACGTTAGTTTACTGACACTTGGTTTTTGCTTTACTTGAATGCTTTGGTGAACTAATAATTTCATTTATTCAATCAGATCTTATGTTTTAAGAGAACTAAACTTAGAGCTATTTTTATCTTTTGTTAATATGATCAGCTTTGTTATGCCAGTGTTAATAAATAACTGTACAGTTCTGTATGCTCGACAGGATGTTGACAGATTAATCAGATCACACAGAAAGTGTAAGAAATTATATAGCAGCTAACCCTTTTTTCCAGATTGCACTGCTGTTGTGAGTGTTCATGTCTGCTTTATTTATTTACTGCCATTCTGAGGGCTGATGTGTAACTTGTGCAGCTCAGGAAATCAAACAACCATGCTTGTAATCAGTCATGATGGGGGAAACGATCATTTTAGGCAAGAACTCTTAAATATTAGGAGTCTTTACTTGGTAAAGAAACTATTGGGAAGCTGTATGTTAGAGATTTGGAAGACTGTGAGTAGTATGGAGAAGTGAAGAGGGAATTATTCAGGTTCTGCCAATAAAGGTATCATGTGATACCCAGTCCAGAGTCAGGAAGATTAAAACAAAAATAAATAACTTTACAATAAATAATAGAGCAGTCAACCCATTGACTCAGGATGTTGTTGAGACCAAACAAAGAGTAGAAAGTCTAAAGGGAGTAAGATACATCCATGGAAGATAATTCATGAGTTGCTGTTAAACAATCATCAGGACATGTATAGCTCAAGTAGTTTATATCCTGCAGGTGCTGGAATGACAGACCAAGGAGAAGAGCACTATGTATGTATCAGCCTACTAAGAGGTGTTAGCATAAGTAGAGACTCACTGGTGTTGTCTGACAGCTTTTCTATATGTGTGGTTTTCACCATCTGTATTCCTTCTTTTTCTCCATTCTCTGCCTGTATCTTTTCATATTTCTGCTTGAAGAATTGTCTGTACTGCTCCTACTCACTGAAGAGCATTTTTTTCCTTATGCTTTCTGTAAAACATAAAAATTAAGCATCATTAGTTTAATTTTTTTTCACATTTCTAATGTCTTTATGGATAAAGTACTTGCAGCTAAATTGGTAAACTGAGAGAAGGCATTTATTTAACTCTCAGCTTGTCATCATGGAAACTTACCCTCAGTGAAAGATGAACCTAGAGAAATAAAATAGCTGGTAATCTGAGTGAGCTCATGAGCATGTCCTCTGATGGTTAGACCATCCCTGTTATTGTGTATGGTCTTACATGTCTGCAAGCCAGTGGATGAATTAATGCATATGCAGACATCAAGGTTGTGTATTGATTTGTGAACTTCTGATAGTATCAAAACCACAAATTATTTTTTTTACCCTGCCTTTTGTCTGCAGTGAAATGTGGCTGTCTTATGAAGGCATACAGAAGCTACATAGTGTAGTATGGATTACAAAAAAAAAAAAAAAAATTACTGTATAGTAATTAATTATGGCTGGAGATGAAAGCATGTTCCTCTGCTTGCCCTTCTGTAATGAGATGCGTTCATCCACTCTGGTGTTATTGACTGAGTTCTGATAATAGATGCAATATGAAAAGATGTTCTTAACTAGTAAATAAAAAATAACCCCAGAAGTGGGAGCACCTTGACAAGTCAGAAAAGTGGCCACATCATCTGCTTGTGTTTCTGATTCATTGTGATATTCTCTTAAATTTCTTACAAATATATCATTTATAGAGCTCTTCTAATCATAACATGCATCAGATTTGAACTTACTGATTGCAAATGGTTTCATATTACAGTAGGCATGTATGAATTGATGTCCCTTTGACTTGAATGTTTATAGATAAGTTTGTTTTGGAGTCTTAAAAAAAAGAAGAAAATCTTGAACTTCACTATTTGCAAATTTGCAGTCTTGTTCTGTCTGTGCTCTGGGATCATAGGAGAGTTCCTGAGAAAGCATATAACAAGATGGCACAAGTCCTAGACAGTTGTGCCTCTAATCCACAAGCATTCCTTCATACTTACTTATCTATATCAGAGAAAGAAACACTCATCTCCTAGAACGGTGTTTATCATGCTTCATTTATTCTTAACAGTTGCCATACCTGAGTACATGAATATGCATGAGTCTACATAAGTATAACAACTTGTGCTTTCCTTCTACAGATATTGACAACAGTGGGTATGTCAGTGACTACGAGCTTCAGGACCTGTTTAAAGAAGCAAGTCTGCCCTTGCCTGGTTACAAAGTCCGGGAGATTGTAGAAAAAATCATTTTAGTGACAGATAGCAGCAAGGATGGGAAAATCAACTTTGAAGAATTTGTCTCTGTAAGACCTTCCCTTTGGATGTTTCTCTACTGTTTGATATCTATTGCAAATTAAGTTCTACAACTAAATGCTATTTTTATATATAACTATTATTTTGAGTTTTCTGTGACAACCTAGAATATCCTATATAGCTATTTTCTAATTTTTATCTTTCACACTCCTGTTTAATTTAATGGTTCTGATTTCAGCAGCATGTGAAAGAACAGTAGTTGCAATCAGTCTTGTTTTTGTTTTCTGTTTCCTCCAAGAAGAGGGGAAGGACTATGTATTGCAGGAACTGTTGGGTCAGCCCTTGCTCTGGCAAAAGAGCAGACAACTGGATACCAGCCTCTGAATGCTCTTAGTAGTGTTTCAGTATGCTTAATCTCTATACTAATGGCTGGTTATTACTGGGAGTGAGGTACAAGTTTTCCCTTTCACTGAGCAGATTTCAAAGCTTTAGTCTTTTCTAATGAGAATCACTCACTGGTGCGTTTTAAAAGAAACAAGAACTTAGCAGGCTGTTGGTTTGTGGGTGTTTGGGGATGATGGTGTTTTGCTTTGAAGTTAGAGTACTGCTGCTAATTGCAGAAGGTTGCTTGTTGAATTAAGTATTGAGCTCTCTTTTTGAGATTCTAAACATGCAAGTATTTGCTTCCAGGTATTAACTGTGTCTTGTACTTCATTGTCAGTCTGAGACCTCTGCAGTATTTGGGCAAACCTAGGACATATTAATATATCCAATGTGGTTTACATTGCAGGCAGGTGGAAAATGGTATTAGCTTGATAAAGAAAGGGCATGTTTAACTGTCATGTCATAACCTTTTATGTGCAAAGCATGTGAGGAAATAAGTGGGAAAAATACACTATCATAATCAAAAATGTATGTATCTTTAGTTGTGTTTTTCAGTTTACCAAAATATCAGTGGAAAAATTGTGTAGATATTTGTATGTCTATATTTTTAGACAGCATGGCTTAATAGAGGTATTCACTATGAAATAATATGTTAGATATCCAGGATAGATACAGATATTCAAACAGTAATTCTTTCTTTTTAGAACAGAAGTCAATATAAAGAAATATCAAAGAAATTCAGTCAGATTAACTACTGACTCTAGACTACTTAAATGAATTAACATTTATTTGAAGGTATAATCAATCACAAAATGCTTTCTGTTTTTTTTTAATTTCAGATAATTCAGGAATTGAAAAGCAAAGATGTTAGCAAATCTTTCCGAAAATCAATAAACAAAAAGCAAGGTATTACAGCAATTGGAGGAACATCAGCAATATCTAGTGAGGGGACACAGCACTCTTATTCAGGTAAGAAATAATTAAACATGGGCAAATTTTCTGTGGGGGAGGACTCTTTGAATTTGTACTACAGATAAAACAGAGCCTAAATGGAAACTGTTGGCAATAAAAGCAAATTAACACAGCAAAAGCCTGTGGAGATAGACCTGGTAAGTGTGGGTGATAGTTTATTAACTCTGCTCAGCTGTTGCTTAGTTTCCCTCTTAGCTGCACTTGGAGGCTAGCTGGGCATCTGTGTGAGAGCAAAAGAGGAAAACAAGCACTGACGTCTTGTTGGGGAGGAAAGAGCCCTTTTGGCATACTTCTAGTAAAGCTAGTCAAGTTTTTGCCTTCATTATATGCTAATTATATGCTTATTCCTATATTCAGATTAAAAAAATGAATGAATCCTCATTTTCATTTCTACAGTGTTAGCTAACATGAACTAAAACCCCACTAACAAACCACCACATATCCTTTCTGGATGGACTGCCCTCCTCAGCTGTCTCTGCCATTATGGATTGTTTACTCATACATGGTTTTTGCATAGACTGTCTCACATTGAAGAAACTGTTTTTAATATTTGATCTGTTTCCTTCTACCTCCCCCTGCTGCATGTAATTTAAGTTGGTAATTGTGCCTAATTGCATTGCAGCTCCTGGCCAGAGTGTGAGCCACCTTCTAGGATCATATTGCAATCAGCAATATTGCAACCTTTTTGATTGACTTAAATCTAGAATTTGTGTCATTCCAGATTGTGTTAAGGTTCTGTATATGAGGAAGATTTACTTTGATTAACCAAAGGTGGTAATATCCTCTCTTTCAGTAGGATTCTAGCACCAGCTATACCTGGTGCATCCTTAAAGCAGGGGATATGCTGCATCCCAAAGGATGCCTGTGGGGCATCAGAGGTGATTCTTTAGATGCAGTTTTATTTTTGGAGGAGAGAAACAAACCCCATTAGAACACAGTTCACCTGGCCTGGCCTCACCCCGAATCTCACTGATGATAAGGTGAAGTGTGCTCTAGAGTTTCCCATTGATAGTGAAAGAAGTGTAGTGAGTCAAAGTGAGGTGAATGCCGCCTGTACTGTTTGGGAATTTGGATATTGAGACTTGATTGACTGGTATCCAAATAAGGTTTCTTAGATACATAATAAAAAATTATGCACTGAATATGAAAGAGAATTTAAAACTGAGATATTAAACTTCTTAAGTTTCTCAAAGCTAAAGACAGCTCAGCAGTTCAGACCAGTCTCAAAAGGCTGCCAGTCTCTGAAGTCCAGCAGAAGGCTGAATGAAACACTGCATTTTAAACAAATAGTGCATGGAGTGACATGTTGTATATTTCAGATGAGGCATTTTCCCCTCTTCTTTGTAATTGCTGAGAAACCAAGTTTGAAGTCAGCCTTGAAGACACCTTCTCTAAGATGTTCCTATGATATTCATGTTATCCTTCAGAAAATCACCAGATACTTAGAGGGTGCAATGGGAGAAAGGTCAATCTGTACTTACTATTTTTTGTGTTCTTTCTCATTGGTCTGATTTTTTTAATAACTGACCTCTGTGAAATTAAGGGGTTTGGTTGCAGATGAACCTCTTTGACCCATGTATGCTGCTGTTAATCTTTTATTTTAATGTTGTCTTTCTTTTCAGAGGAAGAAAAAGTTGCTTTTGTTAATTGGATAAATAAAGCCCTACAAGATGACCCAGACTGTAAGCACCTCCTACCCATGAACCCATCAGATGCCAGTCTGTTTAAATCCCTTGCAGATGGCATCCTTCTTTGGTGAGTCCAAGGCTATGAGAAAGAAAATAAATTAATCTCAAAGGTTAAATGCTGATCACAGTGACATGAATTAGAAAACTTTAGACAGGCTTTAACATCAAGACCCCATTCTTAAATATTTCAATACGGATGCAAGGTGGGGCAAACCTGTTTGCCCATAGAAACGTGATTTTTAGTGTATTTTCTATGTGACTGTGCATGTTACAGAAGCAGTTTTCCACTCAGACCCATAATTATACATGCCAGATATTTGCAGGCTGTTTATAAAGGAGATAATTAAACAGTTCATAAATTCATTACTTGAAATAATTTAAAAACTTGACTATTAAAATATTTTTAAAAGTTACTAATTATAGTCATTAAATCATCGGGTATCAGGAACAGAGATCTGAATTAAATCCATGTCAAAACAGAGAGCATATAGTAGGTCCCTTGACTTCAGTCTGCTGTAACTTTCTAGTTCAAGTGGATTACTAGTGCTTACTCACACACCATGGTAACAAGGGATTAGCTGTTAGTATTGATGTGAATTAGTCTTTGAGATCCACGTAGAGACAAGGTACTCTAGAAATGCAGTGCAGAAATACACTGATTATACTACAGTTTTTCAGGAGTGACCATTTAAGTTACTTTGGTTTACAGTTTTAATCTCAGGAACTTTCTTTGACAGGTATAGATATGATCTATTAATTATAAAAGGAAGGTGCAATATATTATCCAGGGCATTCTGAACGAATGTGCAGTTACTTAAAGGGGGAGAGGAGATTCAGACTATGGTTTGTTTCTTTTTAATCTTGTCAAAAATGTTTGCAGCTAGTTGAGTGTTAGTAGTTTATAACCAAATAATATATTTTCTGAGAAATGGAAGTTTGAATAAACTCTTGACTTTTCTTTCTTAGCAAAATGATCAACTTTTCACAACCAGATACAATTGATGAAAGGGCTATTAATAAGAAAAAACTCACTCCTTTCACTATTTCTGTAAGTACTGCATGGATAGCAACTTGCCACAAATGAAAAAGTAAAATATTTTTCTGTTTTAATGGCAGTTCTCCTGATGGAGGAAAAAAAATATTTAAAAATCATATGTAATTAAAAATCCTGAAGCATGAGATTGTATTTTCTAATAAACTCTATTGTATTCTCCTATTTCTTAGAAATTTAAAGAAAAACTAGTTTTTTCTTGTTTTCTCTAATTCTTTCCCTATTAGCTATTTTTGTTTTGCCTTCCTGAGTACCTGAAGAAAATAATTTTAGACTTTGAGTGGATGGCCAGGTTGTATTTTAGCCATGCAGAAAGTATCTGCATGGCTGTATATTCTGTAGTAGGATGATGGACTTTCTGTACTGGAGAGTAGCTTTGACAGAGGGTCAGGAGATCTATTTTAATTGTGTATGAAGCGATGGAAACGTTTGACAGAAACAGTTTTTAAGAACTTAGTTTGGATTTAAGAAAACAGGTCTGGAATGGGAAGTAGATCCATAAGTTACTGACCCAGTGAGAAAAAACTGCTGATAAAAACCTCAGTTAAATGGCAGACTTCATTTTAGGCAGTGATGTTAAAATATGAAAAGTTAAACCACACTATGTTCTAAATCCTCCACGTGGGTTTTGTAATCACTACTCATTTAAAAAATATTTGTCAACAAAGATGATAGTGCATGTGTTTAGGTTGCCTCTGTAGATAGTGAAATATGACACAAGAAAATAGTAGCACTGAGAGCTGCCAGCTATTTTTTCTTGGAATCTTTGTCAATATCTCTGGCAATCACTAGCTTTACTTTGAGTGTCAGGATTTTGAATTGTCTTGATTATCTTAGGCTCTTCTTTCAATTATAGTTTAACAATTGCTTGAATAAATGTGTAAGATTTAAGATGGGATGACAGTGATGTCAGTAGTGCCCTGCACAGGACTCCATGCAGGAATTCCATATGAACATGTTTTTCAGGATCAGGCCTCTGATATTTACACAAATCAATGCAATGCATATGCAATGCATGCTGGGCAGCATTGTTTAATTTGTATAACTGATGCTTAGGAATTGCAAAAAATATTTTGATTAAAGTATTCCTTAGTAATCCCAGCTGCAGAAGGTGGCCCACAATTTTTTGGTGGGTGCATATTAAACACTGTCATTGTTTTCATTACATTTTGGTAAGATGCAAGGTAGTTCACAAAAAACCTCCAGACTGCAGTTTTCCATTGGAAGCCATTGAACTAATGCATTATTTCTTCTGAAGTTTAATATGAACAATTTTACTAAAATATACAATCTCCCAAATTTGTTAAATGATGATATTCCAAATAGGAAAACCTAAACCTGGCTCTGAACTCAGCATCTGCCATTGGCTGCACGGTTGTCAATATTGGATCACAAGATTTGCAAGAAGGAAAACCACACTTGGTATTAGGACTCTTGTGGCAGATCATTAAAGTTGGCCTTTTTGCTGATATTGAGATCTCCAGAAATGAAGGTAAGAGTAATGCCAGGTATAGCAATGCCAGCCACTTGGAATTAGCTCAGACCACAATAGCAGTGATTTCAGCTTTCTTTCAAACTTGCTTTTAGCTCTTATTGCCTTGCTAAATGAAGGGGAAGAGCTGGATGAGTTAATGAAGCTTTCCCCAGAAGACCTCTTGCTGCGCTGGGTGAATTACCATCTGGCCAATGCAGGGTGGCAGAAAATCAGTAACTTCAGCCAAGACATTAAGGTAGGTAGTTATTTCTTCTCATAATCGAACACAGGGGTATTAAAACACACAGTGCATAGAAAAATATTGTCAGAGCAGAAGAATTTATATACAATAGTAATCTGCTTTATCTGACTGCAGGTTTATCTTGCATTTTTCAACATTGAAAGAGCATTATTTTGACCTCTTCTATCCTATTTAGTTGCTCATCCCCTGTATTATCATATTACAGTGCAAAGTGAACATTTCCAACAAGCTGATAGTCAGGGAAGTTCTAATGTTGTTCGATGGCTATCATTTGGGATAATTTTGGGATAATTTTGGATAATTTGCACCACCTTACCACCTTCCTAGCTGCCTAATAACTGCCAGTCACTGTTTGCTGGTGTGTCAGCTGACTGCCACAGGGGCTGAAATATTCCTTGGGGCAGGTGGCAGAGCTCCATAATTCTCTCTTCAGTCATTCTGCAAAGGCAGGCAGAGCATTGTAGTAGCCCAGCTGAGGAGAGAACACAGCAACTTTTTAAAACTGAAAGCAAAGGAGGAAGATTCCCTTAAAGGGATTAGACCTCCTTTCATTGGAGAAAACCATGTCCTTAATTTTAAGCAAGTTATATCTTTTCACATGCTACCAAGAAGGCTGTTATTAAAGCAGACTGTAACTAGGGTTTTATATGAAAACTGCTACTATGGTAAAAAATTTTATGGTGGTTAAGAGAAGTAGTAAATACTTCTAGAATACTTCTAGAACTAGAAGGGGTTTATTTTTTCTTCTAGTTTGTTACTGCAAAATTGACCCTTTTTGTGGGTGACCACATAAGTTTGCCCTGAATATCTTAATTACAACAAGTCTAGTTAATATTCAGCAGAATAAATTTAACTAGCATTGTCCAGAATAATTAGCAAATATTCCTTTTCTCTGTCATCTGGCTAAGTAAGTTCTATGTGAAACAGGATAGTAAAATGGCTGTATGACCTCATCCATATTCACTGAAATTAGAGTGTATTTGACTCCTATGGCTTCTGGATTGGACTATTAGAATAAGAAATGTCTAGGAAAGGCAACATACTTGCTGCTTTTTAAAAAAAAAATATTACACTGTTTGTTTTAGGATTCAAGAGCATACTACCATCTGTTAAATCAGATTGCACCCAAAGGAGATGACCTTGAACAATTGCCCATTAAAATTGACTTTACAGGATTTCATGTAAGTATCCAGAAATGTAAAAATAGACTGGAATTATCTGAGATCTCTGTGTATGTATCCAACATTCTGGTTACCAGGTTATCCCTGAATCCTCTTCTGTTTCCTAACGTGTGCAATAATTCAGCCAGATTCCTCAGTGTTACAAAAGCTTAAATGAGAAAAAACTTGAGTAAGTTCTACAGTGCTGCTGAAACAGGATAAAGCATCCTGCAGTCAAAAGTTTGGAGCTATGTTTCACTAGTAGTAGTGTATATTGATTTTCAGTTGGGTCATCCAACATGAATATTACAACATCCTGCTCAGTTCTCCTGTTCTGGAATTCAGACAAGAAAAAAGAATAGACTTCACAAACCATTGTTCCTTCCTCTAACCAAATAGCATTTAGAAATAACATGTGAGCCCTTCCAAGAACCAGCAGCAAAATGTGGCATCCATCAAGCTTTAAGTTGTAAAGGGACAGAATGTCTAAAACCAGCCTACATTGATGTGGAAACACTTGTCTAAGCTGCTTCATAATGCCTGTTGGAAGGATTATTCTGGGAGTGCATTTGCTACAAAGTTGAACTGTGTGCCTGAGATACCTATATATCAATCAGAATCTACAGTAGAATCTCACTATTCATTATAATCATGAAACCCATGTGCAAGATTGTTTTCTTACATGCTTTAGTTCTCTTAAATTCCTTGTTTGCTTTGTTTGTTTTTGTTTGGGATTTTTTGAGAGTGAGAAAGAATATAAAAATTTTTCCATGTAATTTCCTACAGTTCATATGATCACATTTTGTAATGAACCAGTATATTACTAATAAAGACTAATGAACAAAACATAGGTTGCCAACTTATGATGCTTATGAGAAAAAAAATATTAAAAGGACAGCAAGTTGGAAGCATTCAAACTATTACTGACGGTTTTGGGCATCATCTGGAATTTCTTGAGAATATCAATTTAAAGCAGTGATGGTGAACCTTTGGGACATGCAATAAGGGAATCAACAGCCTAGAAATGTAAATAGAATCTCTACACTCCTGGCTGCAGTTCCTGTGATTGATGAGGAATGCTGTGCTGACAGCCACAGAAGTGAAGGACAGTAGAATGCAGAGGGGAATTGTCATGGGCTGTAAGAACTAGCTCAGGCATTGGCAGAATGAGGGAGGAACTGACATGGGTCATTTAAAGATTTCTCTACCTGATGATTCAGTAAAATCTGCTACTAGATTTAACTGCAAATTAACTTTTATTTGTTTTTCTTTTTAGGATAAAAATGACTTGAGGAGGGCTGAATACATGCTCCAACAGGCAGATAAACTGGGCTGCAGACAGTTTGTAACTCCAGCTGATGTGGTTGCAGGCAACCCTAAGCTCAATTTGGCATTTGTTGCAAATCTCTTTAACACATATCCAGCCCTGCACAAGCCTGATAATTCATCTTATGATCTCAATTTATTAGAAGGTACTCAACTTTCTAACCATATGGAAGAGAAGAATATTAGTGATTTCTACTTAGGTATTCCTTCTAGGTTGTGATGTAGGATCCCTGTGTGCTGGTGCCTGTGTTTACTTAGTAGCAGCCAATATAAGCCTTAGTAGAAAACCCCAGTAGTGTATATTGTTCACTTGTGTTAGCCTGACCAAATGGTCATTCCTGAATAACCTTCTGTCATCCATTTGCAGGAACAAAAACTGTCCTCCTACTTTCCTTTCAGTTTCCCGTGCTTCTTTCTGTGCCATTTATATTTGAGCTGATGTACAATTTCTAGCTTTTCTTTGAAGTGCTATATTATGCAACTGTAATAATCTTTAAAAGTATTTTTCACATAGTGTATTTATATATATGTGTGTATGTTTGTTGCCTTTTAAAGTAGGAAATTTGGTTTTTTTTAAAGGCTTTGGTATCAGCAGCCTATATTAATCTATTGCATCAACAGCCTGCATAGATCCTGTCATAGCAGGGAATTTGGCCTTTAACTGTACAGTTCAGGTCTCTAATGCCAGAGACAAAGGGATAATTGGTAACAATCTTTGGCTGTTGCCCTTGCTGTGGACCAGCTAATCTAGGATAATGGAATGGCTCCTGCCAGTGTATTTCACAGTTGTTCACTGATCTCAAAGGAGTGTGAGAATCAGGGGTGCTGCACTCAGGAGAATCATCAGCAATGTTCACATAGTCCTCTGCACTGCCTTCTCGTGCCTTCCTCTTACTGTTCCTATCAGGTTTCCTTTCCATCTAGGTGAGTCCATCTTCCTTTGCTCCTTTGCTCCTGTTTTTTCATGATTTGTCTGTGCTGCTGCATCCCTGTGTCACAAATCTTCAGATCATTCCTGTTTCAGGCTTCTTGCTCTTCTAGCTTCAGCTGGGTGCCAGCTTTGATGTGGTAGAGGTTGTAGAGCACAGGACATTGTCTTCCCTTTTCAGCTGTGATATCCCCAGTCACTGCAGTCCCTGCTGGCCAGGACTGAAGGAAATGTCTGAAATGACTGAAGGAAAGGTCTGCTCTTCCTCTGCTTTAGTTTTGTTAGAAACGTCCGCTCTTGGGAATGTATACAGGAGCTGTGTGGAGGGAGAATATGTTCAGTTCAGCTCCCCTGCTCTGAAGATAAAATTGCTGGTGTGATTTGAAATACTGAAAACTTGGTTAAATTTCCATTTCAATGGCACGGGAAAAAAACAGTTGAATTAGTTTCTGGACTTTCCTGAAACATTTAGGTGGAGATGAAAGTCTCAGCCAAACCAGTTTAAAAAGTTACAATCAACTGAATGCTAGATATGATTTTGTAATTATAAATACAGGGCAAATTTAACTTACTATTTACAGTATATGTTTTAGAGATGGATAATCATGCCAATGTTACCTGTTCAAAGAAATAATAGTAATTCCCGTGGTGTCAAGTAGATCTAAACCATCAAAATGGTTATTTCAGCCCAAAGACAACATTGTTAATGGTTTTTTTTTTTCTGTTAATGTATTTTTTGTTTTCCATTAAGTCCTGTGTTTATATTGATGTTTTCTCAAGCTAGTGATATAAAATATGACATTGATTTTTTTATAGTTTCATCATAGATTGTCTGTTGAAATCTGACTCATAATTTATAATGCTTTCCTGTTTTGCTTCATGAAATGCAGATTTGACCCCTCCTAATGTAGGTACTGTATTTAGTACTTTTCTGTACTCCATAAAAGTGTTTATTCTGCAATTTTTCGTTCTTTTTTTTCCCTATTGTTTAATCATCTCTGTCCTTTTCTGGTTGATTTTTTGCATTGTTCTTACATTTTTCTATTGTTTTAATATGCCATCATAAGTAAAAGAGAAGGAAAAAAACCCACAGCATATAAAATGAGGGCAAGAGTTGCAGTGAGTCAAATGCCATACAGGTATTTTGGAGGCTTTAGCCAGTAGGGGCTTTCCATGAACCAAGATGTCAAGCTGTAGGCATGTGTGGGTGAGTAGAGCTTCCTGAAAGTTTTCATTTTCCTGCATAAATTCTATCTTTTCAGGGACTGTCCCACCTGATCAGCATGGTGTGGCTGTCCTCTTCAGTTTAGGACAGTTAATGCTGTGCATAAACTGACATCTGCCCTGATAATAAGTCTAGTGTTGTGCACTGAATTATGGAGAGCATGTCTCTCAGGAATACTGACATAGCAAAATGAACATTTGATATTGTGTGGGGGTGGAGAGGGCAGTCCTGAGCTCAGTTATTGCACCACCTTTGCTGCTGATCCAAGGAGCCCCTTGCTTGTGGGGAAAGCAGCAGTTCGGAGTCAAAGTCACGAAGAAGCTGAGTTCTTGGGGGGAGGAAGAGGAGGGGCTGTGTCCACCCACTTTTCCTCCAGTGTAGCTGTTCTGTGCTGTTGCTTAGATTACTGGCAGCCTTCATGGCTGTCACCACAAGAGGGTTAGGTGCTCCCACTCAGGCTGGTTGAACTTGGGCTGCAACTGTATTGTGAGCTCAGTTGTGTTCAGAGATAATCTTAGATTTATTCGGAGCTCTTTGGATTCTTGATCCCCTCCCTATGGCTACTCTCCACTCAGTTCCACAGTGTAATGATCTCAAAAAAGAGATGGCAATAAATATAAAGGATACTACCAAATTTGCTCCTCTCTCTTTTGTGTAGCTCTGCCCCCTTTCTGCAGTTTTCCAATGATTTTGGCTATCTGCTGCACCACTCAGCAGAAGATATGCTCCTGATAGGATCACAAGGTATATTTTGAATAAAAGAATAGAGAGAAAAAATTGGTCATTTCTCAGCCATCTGGAAAACATATGAACACTCATGTATTGCATGATGAAGGGTTTTGTTTAGAGTGGCATATTAAATATAGTATGCTGGGTTTAGTTCCTGGACTCCCACTTTCCAAAAGGGTCCTGCCCAGCTTGCATGCTCTTGCTCCTGCTTGGCTACTTTGGATTCTCCTGACAATGTTGAGCAGGCATTTTAAAATCCTCAGTCTGAGTGCAGTTGCTGCGTATCTGTTTTTGTGGCTACGCTGTTTACTAAGAATTCACTAAATAACCTTGGTACTGTCTTTGTAATGGAAAAGTGTTCCTAAAAGCACTTTGCAGTCAGTATTTTAGGCATTGCAAATCAACTCAAAGCTCAGTAACCATAAAATCATTTAAAAAAGCACAAGGCACTTGCTTCAAAATCCTATAGTCTCAAAGATATTCTTTATAAACTTAAATTATATATCATTCTTCAGTTATGATTGTTTTTTAAATGGAAAAACTGATATTTTTAGTAACTTTGTCACAAAGTGTGATTGTTCTTTTAAATTTTAATATGACAAGAAATATGTGAAACAAAGCTCTCTGATGATGTTGTGGAATAGGATTTTTCTTTGTTTCTTCTGTGTTTTTTCACTGTTTCATCAGTGGCTCTGTGGTTGTTTTTACAAGTAAATATTTGAAACAAGCACTAATTCGAATTGCATATGAAAAAAATAATAATTTAGAAAATGTATCAGTAAGATGAATGTCAACTATTTCATAATAATTGGAAAGGAAAGAACCTGGTAAGGTGGCTGAAACTTTAAAGATAAAATTTACTCTGTTAGAAACTGTAAACTACAGCTGAAATTTCTGATGTCCAGAGCTTTTTGTGTAAAAGGGTAAGAGACCTAGATTAAAATGGTAGTTTCTGTCTAAAAATCAATGTTCTTACATAGGTCTAGGCATGAAAATATAATGTTAAAGAGATTTTCTTTCTGGTCTAATGATAAATACATGTCTATGCAGTAGCTTCATTTTTACAAAATTATTCATTATTCCATAGTCAGCCTAGAGCTGCAGTACTAAATAAGGCAGTTTTCATGCTATATAGACTTCATCAGACAAACATGATATTGTTGCCTTCTAAGGAGCAAACGAAAACAGCAGAGAAAAATCTTTCTTACATACTTGTGCTTCAGTCTGGAGAAATCTGCTCTTTCATTTTTTGGAGAGGCTTTCTCCCTCCTCAGTGTCTTCACTGGTTTCTTAACTGTGGATTATCAACCCAGGGGAACAAACTGATGAGCTTATTCCAAGCTCACATACTCAGGATAAATATTTTCTCAAATGCTGCTCTTTGATGCAAGAGATAACAGCTTATGCAGCACTGATTCACATGTAGGTGGCCACAGAGATGTTGTTAAAATTTAGGTAGTGTCGTGTGTAGAAAATTAATGAGTTACTGCAAGCTGTAACTTTATAGAGAAAGAGTTAGGTTAGGACTCATGATTGCAATAATAAAGCAATGTATGTCAGGGAAATGAAGGTTGGGATTTACTTCCTAATGAATTTTCTGCAGTTCTTGTAGGTAGAATTGCTGGTTAAAACCATGAGGATAACTGGCCCCTTGGCAGTACAAATAGCTTCACAAAGTTAACCAATACAACACTGCCTCTCCCTATTTTCAGTGCAAAGAACTCAAAAAAATGAAATCTGTTGCTTTGGGGGAGGCCCTTTGCAAATTAATACTGTCAAATTCTGTGAGAGGAGAGTGGAGTTGTAGTGCCTCGTGCGTTAGTACTGACTTTTAATAAAAAGATGTTATTTCTCTCAAACTGTGGAATGCAATTTTCATTCATTTTAGTTTCAGGAAATTATTATTAATCACCTCCATGATATGTTAATTATGTGAAATATAACAAAAAATTATTCCTGTATTTTATCAAATTGTATTTACTCAGATAAATGTAGTCTAATAATACTACTCCCTGTAGTCCCCCTGCCCTGTGCCTAGAACTGAGTGACTCTGAATTGGATAGGATTGCCTTGTAGTATAGACTGTTGTTTGGGAAATTATGAACTCTTTTTGGGGTGGAAGGGGGATGGTGAGGGATATGAGAAGCATTTAAACATTGCTTATTAAAGTGTTTTCCCCAATAACTTATATAGAATTGTATTTGTCACCATAGGAGAAAGTAAAGAAGAAAGGACTTTCAGAAACTGGATGAATTCACTGGGCGTGAGCCCATATGTTAATCATTTATACAGGTAAGATTTTTAAAAAGAATGATTTGACTTCCCATGGGTGACAGAGGAAGAAAGAAGGAAAAAAGAGGGGGAAATTGTATTTCTACCAGAATAGTGATTTCCAGGTTTTCTCTTCAAAACTGGTCTGTAGGACCACATTAAACAATATCTGACTCAAATATTCTAGTCATAATCTAGATAGACTAGAAAATCTAAGAAGGTTTAAATCTTCTCCCTCTCTCACACTTGTACGTTGAATTACGTTTTCTTAAATGTTGAGGTAACTGGGTTTTATGATGTATAATTTTTATTTTTTCAGTAGACTGTAAGAAGCTCTGCAGTGTAGTATTCCCTCAGATGAAGGGCTTTATAACAAGCTTTTTAGATGCTTCTGGACACTTTCAAATTATGCCAGAAGTTGATTCAAATTCTGTCAATAAAATATGAGATTGAGGGAGCAAGTGGGAACACCTGCTTGTATGTATATTTACTAATTGGTTTCATTGTTTCCATTTTCTGATTTCTATAAAGTGATCTGTAGGTAGCTTAACGTGGAGAATTTCATTTATTAAGTAGCTGATGGGAATTATCATTCATTATGCAACATATATTGGGAAAATAATACTTTTCCTACTATTCTTCTTTTGCAAGATAAGTTCATTGGTTTTGATTATACTTTAGCAAAATACATCTGTAGGAATCTGCAGATAACGCATGAGTATTTAACATTTGGGAAAGTCCTTAGAGAATTAAAACTAGATCAATAAATTAAAACTCTTTTAGCAGCTGTTTTGTCTATGCCTGCCTTATGAAAGTAATTATTTAATTGAAGCCAGACTGAGATTGCCTCAGTAAGATTTGTGAAACTAATGAAATTAAATGCAGAATTTGGTGTATATAATCGCAGGAATCAAGCAATGGACTGTAGGCCAGTTTCTTTACAGAACAGCACCAGTTTTTATTTAAGTCTCTGGAAATTTTCATCAACTTACTTACACTGTGAGAAGTCTCAAGTACTTACTTTCATTGTCAGTCTGTGCTTTTGTGCTGAAACCCATTGTTTTGCTCTTGGTTTAGTGACCTTTCTGATGCTTTAATCATCTTCCAACTGTACGACATGACGCGTGTTCCGGTTGACTGGAGCCACGTCAACAAACCTCCTTACTCCCTGCTCGGTGGCAACATGAAAAAGGTGGGGATGCTCTGGGAGGCAGCCCAGCTTCACTGGCTCCCTTTGTGCTCACAGCAGTCTGTGTTGTTGAGGTTTCAGTGCTACTGAGACAGTCCTGGGAGAATAAAAAGGAAGATGTATTTTTCAGATGCTGTCCCAAAGAATAAATAGCAGTTATAGCACATATCACCTTAGTTTCTAAATGTGGGCACCTTTTAGCAATATTTAATTTATGGCCTGATTTGGCTCTATAAGTGAAAGCGTCAGGCCTGACATTGGCTGTTGTTGCTGGATGCTCCTATACTGTGGGGCATTTTCTCCCAGAGCAGTTTTATATGCTGCCCAGAGGATTTGGGCAAGACTTGCAGAATCCAAGCTTTCACCCAGTTTTGTGGTTGTTGTGAAGCCTGAAATGTAGAGGATAAAAATTACTGCCTGTTTAAGAAGAACACATTTCAATATCTTTCAAAGTATAGTTTTGATATAAATATATTTCATTCACCACCTTAGTGGAAACTTGGTTTTCTCAAATGTGGAAAAAATTATCTTACATAATTGCATCTATAGTAAAAACTGTGTTATTTTAATCACAGTGTAGCTAGACTGGAAATCTTTTCTAGCTTCAGATCTCACTGTAGGTAACACTAAGCCAAAGTAACTTAAAATACACATAGATTATATGTCTGTATTGCAGAAATATTAATATGTTTTCATTATTTGCACACAAAATTTTATTTTCAGATCGAGAATTGCAATTATGCAGTAGAACTTGGGAAGACAAAAGCCAAATTCTCATTGGTTGGTATTGCTGGCCACGATCTAAATGAGGGTAATCCAACTCTGACTTTGGCTTTGGTGTGGCAGCTGATGAGGAGGTAAGTTAGGCAGTGTATGATAGATGTGTAAATATGTGTCTGTGCATGTGTGTCTGTAAATCAAGGCAAATAAAGGATAATGTTCAGGTCATCCACTTAGTATTGTAGAGAGAAATCTCTAAATATCCCTGTTCTGAAAGATAAAATGGTATATGTGTTTTGTAATTTTACATACTGTGCAGTGATTGAAACCACAATTTATAGTGACAATTAAAACCTTATAAACTAGAAACTGTGACTAAAATTATGAATCCTGCAGCAAGTAAAAAGACTCAGCTTATTTAATGTTGATTCCATGTATCTTTCTGTAAGTAGAGAGTAATTTAAATATTTGTAAAACCCAAGGAAGTGGTGATACATACACTACAGAAGTTAAAAGTGTAAAAAATTGTAGGCCATCACAGCTATAGTTACATAAGTAGCATCAAATCAAAATCTTGCTACTGTATTGAGCAAGAAAAAATTATTATGAAGTGATTTGATTAAGGAGTGTTTTATTGCAAATGTTTTCCTCAAATTAGTTTTCTTAGATCTGTCCCAAAACACTTATTGGTTTTTGTTCTCAGACTGCTGTGATTCAGTTTTTGAGTTCTGCCACTCATTTTAACTTGGGCTCTTTTCTTTATTGAAGGTATACTTTGAATGTACTATCTGACCTTGGAGAGGGTGAAAAAGTAAATGATGAAATTATTATTAAGTGGGTGAATCAGACACTTGCAAAAGCAAATAAGAAAACTTCAATTACAAGTTTCAAGGTAATGAATTTTATTTACTTTTCTTTCCATACATAGTATGACCTGGGATTTTTAACCTGATCTGTTCATATTTGGCTTTAACAGCAGCTCTCCCATCCGCTAGCAGAATTGTTTGTGGAAATATTCCTGTCAGTCTTTGACTCTTCAAAAGTATTTTGAATATATATTGACAAATAAAAGATCTTACAATAGCTGCAGTAAGATACAAAACAAAAAGCCCAAAAACAAACAAAAGAGAAGAACTTTAAATTTTCAAAGTGACTTCTGTGTGAAGTTACCAGTCTTTGGGCCTGGCATGTCGTATATTTTCTAAGTTTTTGGATATAGGAGCTTTCATGCTTGTACAAGCCAGAAAAACGATTTTGGAAATACCGGGGGCAGATGATCACTTCTCCTAGGAGCCGGTTAAAAGGATGTTCTCTCGTGTGGCAGAGCCGGAGCCCAGGGTAACCAGCGACACCTTGTGTCGTCCTTGCCGCTGCTGATGTGCGGCAGGCCGGGGAAAACGGGAGCTCTTCCCTTCAGCATAAAAGAACACATTGATAAAGGAAGCTTTCCTTTCACGTTATTTAAGTGCTCAAAACAAAAGAAGCCGTATGTGTGTCAGGTGTGTTATTCTGTGTGAAACAAGGAAAATATGTCTGGGGGCCTGGAAGGATCTTTTTGTTGTTTGAAAGTCTGGTCCTTGAACTTCTGTCAAAATTCTTTTCCTTTCTTAGGGCTTAAAGAGGGAAGTTTGATTAAATAAATTTAAACCATTTGTGCAATAATGATACCAGCACAGTGAACATTATAATATTGATTGCAGAAAAGAACATTAGAGTTCATAAAGTGTGAAGGAAAACCTTCACACTATGAAATAAGAAAACAGGCTTCTGTCTTTCAGTATGCATGCAAGATGTGCTGTAGGGTTTTTTGCATTTTGAAAATGGAATAATCAAAGCAGATTCGTTAAACTAATCCTGAGTCTTTTTCTTTTAGGACAGATCAATTAGCACTAGCTTACCTGTCCTAGATTTAATAGATGCCATTGCACCAAAAGCAGTTCGTCCAGAAATGGTCAAGAGAGAAGACCTTTCTTACCAAGACAAATTGAACAATGCCAAGTAAGTTTTAAATGAATGCTTCATATTTTCCTGCAGGAAATGCATGAATTCACAGTGTAATGCATTATTTACTGATTTTTTAGGAGAAAGATAACACTACTATTAATTGATTTTTAAAAAAATAGAATATAAGTTCTAGTATTAATTTCTCTAGTGTATCTAAAATATGAAGTCAAATTCACAGCTGATATGAGCTACCACCACTGCACTGTAATTGGTTTCTTAATAGTTTGCCAAACCTCATACTGGTTTTGACCAAAATAAATGCTTTGATAACCAGTAGTAAAACATCTGCCAGTACATGCTTTCTTCACAATAATTTCCATTTTCTAGTAGAGCCTAAGGACTGTTAAATAGGCATATCCTGCTATTGAAATCTAGTTTTGTTGTTGTGAATTTTGACATATTAGTAGAAGCCAGAAAAACAACAGTATTTTTTTCTCTTGTTTTCCAAGGTATGCCATTTCAGTTGCTCGAAAAATCGGTGCTCGTATTTATGCTCTCCCAGATGATCTGGTTGAAGTGAAGCCAAAAATGGTGATGACAGTGTTTGCATGTTTGATGGGAAGAGGACTGAACAGAATAAAATAATGCAGACATGTAATATAACTTTCTGCCATGTTAAGCACAATGAATGCCTCGCAGTTTACAGAATTCTGAAAATTAGTATGAGAAAAATTGTATGCACAAATATCAATTATCTTTTAATAAGGTGTTTATATTAGTTAATTTTCTTCAGTTTCATAACACATGAATTATTTATGGCTAATACCGTTTTCAGAACATGTTCATCAACAAATTAACATCATAGATTTGTATTGCTTGGAAAAACCCATATGAATCAAGCTTCATTTGTATTAGTTTCCATAGCACTGTGAGAATCTGCATTGTTTTACATATGTTGTTTCAGGACCAGTTACGAAACACTGTTTGATTTTTGTGGGTGTTACTTATACGTAGTCATACAAGTCTCAAGGTGCATTCCAGTCCTGTTGGATTGGACTCCAAACTGCACAGAAATTATCATCCTTGCCTTATTCTTGGAGAGCTTAACTCTTGTTGGAGCCAGTGAGAGTCTTGTCATTGACTTAAGAGCAAGTAAAGGCCTATGATAATGTCTGGTAACTAATGGATACTGATTAAACTGATGACACTTTTGTGGGAATTATCTTTAAATATATGTAGTAGTTTTGTTCTGTTACTTAGCAGAAACTTTTGCAAACCATGTTGTATGAAAAAACCAGCAATAGAAAGCAGAAATGTCCTGTCATTATTAGGTCTGCATATGTGCTAAGTTTTGTGGTTGGACTAAACAGCTGTTGGTTGAGTTTTTTTAACCTTTTCATAAAATATTGTATTAAGAAAACAATAAAGAGCTGGCAAGTCCACTATGGAATTTCTCATTATTGTATTGCATTTCCTTATATATCATTCCTTTGATTTTTCTAAAGTGTGTATCCTATGTGCAGAGGTTTGATGTAGAAAGATCGGTGCATTGTCTGGATGAAATTAAATCTGTGATTTTTTCTTAGTAATTTAAAAGTAATTATTTGTACTCCTTTTTCATCAGCTGTAAATTTCACTTATCAAGCTGGAGCTGTACATTTCATGAAGTTGTTACCAAAAGCCAAACAATAAGAAAATAGATCAAAATTAAAGACATTATTTTTTTAAGTATGAAGCTTTTACTTTCTCTCAGGTCCTGAAGCCAGTCCTCATTGTGGCAGAACAGGAGAATCCTGATGAGCAAGCAGTTGGACTAAGTTTTACATCTTCATTATCTTGCACACAATATAGCAATACTAAGGGATGCATCCCTCCAGTTTCTATTAGATAATGGGATAACAGAGACTGAAGGGAATTAAATTCTTGGATTTGAAGCCATTAGCCTCTGCCTATTTACTGGTTTGCATTGTTGGGACAAGACTTGATTTACTTGGTTTCTACTCCCAGTCCAAATGATGACAGAGGTTTGTACAGGATTTGAGTTCTCATGACACTCAGTCCAAGTTCTCATTCAGGAGAAGCTAAATGGAGACTAAGTTAGTCTCTATACTGTAAGAATAAACGATCTCTTATTAAATTATAGAATCCTTAAGTACTGTATTTACCTACCAGACACTTGGTACCTTACTCCATCAAGGCCACTATTTCCTGTTTTATAAACTATTGCTGTAAGTGTCTACAATTACTTCAGAGTTGCTTTGAGGAAATTTTCATGGGCAACCCTCTGATGCTGTGATGAGCAGGGCCGTAGTTAGTGTAGCAGCTAGGAGAAAACAGACCTAGGAGCAAACGCAGCCCTGAGCCGCCCAGGAGCTGCTGCAGCGCGCGGTCCCTCACGGGCAGCCCGCGGCCCCAGCGCGGCTGTGGGGAGGGGCAGGGCCCGCTCGGGGCAGCGGCCCCGCGCTCCGCCCGCCGCC